GCTAGATCGTTTACAAATCGTAAGCGTAGGAAGTCTTCGAGACCAATCTACGACGCAGTTTCATCGCTGGAGGAGCACTAACAAGCCGATCGGCCTTTAGGCAACGTTTTCTTAGTAGCCTTCCAAGTTATTACGAGAATGCTATTTGGCCGAATATTTCGGGGACACACATGTGGAGGCCCACCATACCTTGCTATGAGTGTCCCTGAATGGCGTTTGGGTGAAAACTTCGCAGGTTATAGATAGTCCTTTGGTAATTAATTAGCAGGAGAGGATACTATGGCGTGGCATCGTTGACATTAGACGATTTAGTTTGTCTTCTTGTTAATTTTGTCCTGCTGGAGAGTTTTCTTCTTAGGAAGCCCTGCATTGCACAACGCAGGCACAGATCGTCTACAAATGGTAGGCGTACGTAGTCTTCACGTCGACCGTTCGTCAGGCTATTGGTTTCTTTGCCCTGAAAATGAGAGTGGCCCGCAATGTACAACCCCCGACAGCTCTTGCCTATTTACTTTTTTCCCCTTGAATCTGGAAATGTGAATAAAATTCTTTTGAACGTATTGTATGTGATTGAATTGCGGGTCCATTACTACATCAAGGGAAGCGGCCGGCCGAGGAAAGAAGAACAAAGAACCTCCAGACGTAGAAAAAGATAGTCTAGTTAATGAAGTAGGCGAGGTAGCTGCCTTTGCGGGGATAAATTGAGAAGAAGAAACATATAGGTCCAATACAGACAATGATAATGATGATGATAATGATGATGACGACGACTATGATGTTGATGATCGTTTGCACTAAGACATCATTGTGCTTCTACTTAATGTATTTTATTTGCCGTTGGGTCATTATTGAACTGAAGAAAACCACGCTAAAATGTAAATTGGCTACTTTGCAAACAGAAGCCTATGACATCATAGTGAAAACGACTTCATCATTAGGAAGGCAAGGTAAAGTCAGAGGAGACAGCATATAGCAATAACTTTAATGAGCTGTCTTAACTAATGCTGATATCCGTAAGGGCCTTTTCCACCCCTCCCGCCCTTTTCAATTTTTCATAAAAATTCTTAGTCACCGTACTTCTGAAATTTACAGGGTGTTTCAAAAGTTCGTTCCGATTGTAATTAAATTGTATTTTGCGCAAAGCATTTAATGCTTCCGCAAATGTAAAGTGACTCAGGTAGGAAATTTATCTAAATAACCGTTCAAAGCAATTTCAAACTAAAATTTGAAGACGTTATGATATTTTGAAAATTTTTCCCCAAATGTGCACGTACGCGAATTTTTTCCCGCCATATTTTCCTGCCATTTTGTAGGTTTTCTATTTTCGTTTTTTGGCGTTTTCTTTTGTTTTCTCTACTCTTTCACGAAAATAAAGGTTTAAACTGTTTGCGTTAGAGCTCAGGCATCTATTTTTACGGTACTCTGTCCATTTAGTCCAAGAATTTGTCAAATTGTTGAACAAGTCTGAACGATGAGAGAACAAGTGGTCAAAAGTAAAGACCTTACAAGACAAACCAAGGAGAAGATGGCCGTTTTTTTTTTACAAACTATGTTAAAAATGTTATCGAAAAAGCTGTAAGTATATGCGTAATAATTCAACGAGACTGCAAGGTAAAAAGAAAACTTCAACTTCATAATATCAAAGTTTCGAGCACAACGGTATGGAGATATGTGACCAACAAAGGTTGGAAAGCCTTGAAGAGACAAAAGGAGGTGGACACTTAATGCAGGCATGGCATCAGAAGAGTTTGCAAACTTTATGCCAAAGGACGACCGGCCGGCAAACTCACGTGATGCGAACCCTCTATTACCCATCTGGATTATCGTAGATGAGACAACAAAGAAAAATCCAGCCCCCAAAACACTGGACTAGCTAAGACAGCGACCACGCCTTACCCGAAAATTGTGAATTTAGACACGCTATGGGAGCTCGTACATTCTATACCTCACCGCTTAGAAAATATCAGAAATCATAAAGGAAGACATTCTGGTTGCTAATATTTCAGTTAGTCAATGTTAAATGAATAATGAATAACATGCTTAGGTTTACAAAAGTTATCTTTAATAATCAGTGAAATTTAAGTGAAGAAAAAATCGGAACGAACTTTTGAAACACCCTGTATAGTTGAATTTTTGTTATGTCTGATTTCTTGTTACGCGGTTGTTAATGTCGCATAGTCCAATGTTAGTTGAGACAGCCACCAATATGTTATAATTAAAATTTAATTGGCCGGCCGAACTTAACCGTTGAACTACTTCACCTCATCATGGGCTTATATGGCCGGCTTCTTCTTTTTTCCGATACCTACGCCTTTTTAGGATTTTGGATCCCAGTCTCCTTAAGGTCTTTTGGTGGAGGAACATGACAGATTACAGCAGCCCATTTAAGGTAGAGCTGATTTATGCTGGTGCAAAGTTTAATCAAAGCTGACTCGTTCGGTCTGAAATAGCAAAATCGGCACATTGAATTTCCTCTTAACGCTTTGTTTGTAAGAAGCTAAGGTTCGTAGCTTGGGTAAACATTGCACAACATCAATCAGCCCAAGTAATAATCCAATGTGGCACAAGGTATGTGGATTTTTTTATATTTTTTTAGGCGATTAGTTTTTTGGTTCAATCCTTTCGTCTTTTTCCGGTTTTCGATTCGAGTTTTTGATCTGATTCCGGATTCGGCGTCGAAAAACGTGAAGGCTTGGTATAGACAAAGTTTCCATAGCAAGCCGCCAAATATCCCTGCGTATCGTCCGGGGGACCCTGGTGTGTTTCATTCGAGGTGTCAAGGTTTTATTGACGCATGTCACACTCCTCGGTCTTGCTCGGACGTCAAATTCTTAGAAGCGCACCCCATCTATATGGACTATTTAATTTTCTGTAAACAGCTAACTCAATTTTTTAATAAAAACGCTTAGTCTAATGTGTTGTCTGTGTGGTGTTTCCTCTTACTTTAAAGCTAAGCCTTTAGAGTAATTAATTATAAGTACTAGTGATGATTTGATTTGCAGGGATTTTTTTATGTTACAAAATGCTTTTTGTAATAACGGCAAAAAAAATAAAACAAAAATAAAACACTTAGTTGTGAGTGCGATGTCTTTTAACTACGCATAGTGAGTGACATTGAGTGTCGCATCAGTTTGTTTGCTACGAAAACAACAACAACAACAACAAAAAACACTCAAAAAATTAACTCATTTGATTCAGGTGCGTCGGAAATCAACAAGTTTATCTTTTTTGGACTCCTCCCGGCCACTTTTTTCTTGGGTGAATGGACGAACATTTTTTAGGCGCGCCATCTCAAGATCGCACATGGCTTTTTTCGACCTTTGCGTACTGCATTTTGGATGCGTTCTTGAAGAAACGCATAGCACTGCCTATTTGGAAGTCGTACGTGAGGTGCTGAAGGAAGGGCAGAAGCTTAAATATCAAGGTTAATGTGACTGAATTTTACGTAATTAAATGTTGATGAAAAATAAAGTTTAACAAACGAGAGATATATCATCAGCTTCTTTGTTTGTTTGTTTGCTTGTTTTTTTTTTTGTCAATTAAACCAGCACTAATAAATTTTACATAAGTTAGATTATGTTGTAACGAACTTGCTTCTCAGGAAAAAAAATAAAGTGTGACCAACACAATGCCGCTTCACCATTGCATTTTTTCTTTAAACCGATAATGAATAATTTAAAAAGTTTCATTTCAGGAACATCGGACGTCGTCTTTTCAATCTTTTTTTGCTCGAACATCGCCGCCTTGAAGACGTCTTTTTGGGCGTGCCCTCTGAAGACCGACCACATCAAACTGAATGCATGTGACGTATACTCTCTAGAAGCTCATTTGGAAGTTTATTTTTCTGGCTGCCTTCCTGAAGAAACGTTTATCGACGCTCATCAAAAGCTTCATTTCAGGAACATCGGACGTCATCTTTTAAATCCTTTATTGCTCGAACATCGACACCTCGAAGACGTCTTTTTGGGCACGCCGTCTGAAGACCGACAAAATAAGACTGAATACATGTGGCGTATACTCTCTAGGAGCTCATTTGGAAGTTTTTTTCGGCTGCTGAGTTCCTGAAGAAACGCATATCGACGCTCATTACAGCTAGAAAACAATACAAAAGTTCTAAAGGTAAGGCAGATATCTGTTTATGCTCTAACTGTTAGATTATCTCTTTGGATTTCAGATTTAGTGCATGAAGTTAGCGTTCGACAGTAGCGTCTAAGATGCAAGGAAGAATGAAACGGAACGTAAGTACATTAAATCTGATTGTGCTGATACATGCACTAATCCTCGGATGACACTAAAATTTATTCGTTCACGCCCCAGCAGGATTCAAACCTACGACATTTGTTTATTTACTGGTTCTCCTAGTGAACCAAAGAATGTACTTTTCAAGACTCGGAAAACCCAAACGATGCGGAGAGAATTGGAATCTGTTTGATGATAGCTGACTGCAGCTAGTCTAGCAGACAATTCCAAGGCCTTTTAAAGGAAATGGAGTCTGCGATTGGTTTCCAGGTGCGCAACAAAGCCTTTGTATTGATGTCATTGATCCTGTATTTAAGAAATACATTGTTTAGGTCGAAGACGTCCAGCCGTGATAAGGTCCATCAGCAGTGATGTGCAAGCTGTAAGCACCAGAATATAGGAAAATCGATCGTCTTCAAGAGGATAAACAACCTTACCAAAACAGGGTCGTTTAAGAATAGAGATTTGAAGTCAACTGTGCTAATACTTCATCAAAAGTCGTAACTTCATTGCTTCATTAGCAAGCAAATCGATATGAAATGTTAATGAGATTCAAACGCCAGAGTGTCTGAGAAAACCTGCTTATAATTAGTTTAAAGTTCATTTTCAACTGCTATGTTAAAACTGTCGCTTTGATGATCTGTTTGAAGAAGCTTTTTGTTCAGGTCTGTGCGATTCCAGAAGTTGTTTCCAACCCGCCGCAGTCGTAGCCGGCCCATATTGGCATTGGGATTTAAACACGTGACCCTCGGCTACCATATTCAAGCCAAGTACAGGAAAGGTAAAATATGTTTATGCAAGCATTCTGAAAGGAAATGAAATAAAAACCTTTGATTATCATTTCAAGTCACGACTTTCACTCTAATAGTGATCGTATTGGAAGCTCTACAAAGATAATTAAATATCACGTTTAAATGGAATACAAATCCAAGAGGTCGGAGTATCCGAAACAACAGTTTGGCTACCGCGTAGATAGACCAAAACTAAAAGGAGGAGCATCCAAGGATTAAAAGGGATTGTTCCATGCAAAGATAATTAAATGTCACGTTTAAATGGAATACAAATCCAAGTGGCCATATCCGAAACAACAGTTTGACTACCGCGTAGATAGACTAAAACTCAAAGGAGGAGCATCCAAGGATTAAAAGGGATTGTTCCATGCAAAGATAATTAAATGTCACGTTTAAATGGAATACAAATCCAAGTGGCCATATCCGAAACAACAGTTTGACTACCGCGTAGATAGACTAAAACTCAAAGGAGGAGCATCCAAGGATTAAAAGGGATTGTTCCATGCAAAGATAATTAAATGTCACGTTTAAATGGAATACAAATCCAAGTGGCCATATCCGAAACAACAGTTTGACTACCGCGTAGATAGACTAAAACTCAAAGGAGGAGCATCCAAGGATTAAAAGAGATTGTTCCATGCAAAGATAATTAAATGTCACGTTTAAATGGAATACAAATCCAAGTTCCTGAGAAACATTTCATTTAGGCCAGAGAATTACTGATAGAAGTCAGGGAGCGGAAAAGCAACCCCAAAGTCTCGTCTCTTTGGCTATTACTTAGAAAGCCGTGATTTGAACGAAACACCTGGCAGATCATAGGTAAGTAAAAAAGAAAAATACCAACACGTTCAACCCAACCTTGCCAAAAAAAAAAAAAAAAAAGGAAAGGAAATTGATGGTAAAAGAACTCACTATGCGCATTTGCTAAAGTTGTGAACTTCCAGGGCACTACTTAAATTGCAAATTGCAAAATAGACAACAGGAGGAGGCTATGCTGGCTACATGCAGCCGTGAATTGAATTACCTGGAGACAAATCGTAATATTAAAACACTTCTCACTTTATTAAAACACTTCTTCTCCTTCAATAGACATCTCATGATCCATGAAATTTGCTTAATTTACGTTCTAATTCGCTTCGCTCAAACTAACGTAAATCATTTTACCCTTAAATTCCCGTAATACAAACAAATCACACGAGAAATAAGGTAGGATGCGTAAGCGGATCCAAAACACTTTATTATAAGATAGATAGATACTAATACAGAGTGGACTGCAAAAAAGAAATTGTTGTTGTTCTTTTTTAAAATTCTTTACATACCACTCCAAGCAGAAATTAATATACGCTCGGTAATACATTACAAACATAAATACTTAGTTACTTGTAACCTGTTTTCAAGGCTTTCTTCAACATATATATCCTTGGCAGAATCAGATTTCCATCTACCAAGTATTTTAAGAAGTCTTTCTGGAATCGAGTTACTACTATTACGTACCGCAGATGTAATACCACCAGATCTTAAACTAGCTATAAAGACCATAATCATTAGGGTTGTAACGCAGCTGACGTAAGGTATAAGTAGTGTAAGAAATCTTTCCACTTCTCAGGGTATAGCTAGAACTACTACGGTGAAAAACAGTTGGTCTAAATAAAGGAAGAGGACTACATAAGTCAATACCAGATAAATCTAAAAACCGCTGTAAAACACTAACAGGACAGTACTTAGACCTGGATGTACTAGTAAAGACGAAATTCCCTTCGCTATAAACGTCTGTCTTACTACGAGGTACAAAGATTCTTATATAATCGCTGTGAAATTCAATATGCTTAGGAACGATATTGCATAATTCGTCGTAACGAAAACATCCTGCAAAAGCTAAAGAGCCTAACGCAGCGATGCGAAGATTCTTTAAATTAGCATCTTTCTTGTCATGAATATGTAAAATACTCTTATGATGTCTGTGGTAATAAGCTTCTTTTTCATAACGGGCTGTGATTTCTGGCGTGCGTTTAGCAGATTCGATAATGTTCCTGCAAAATTCACTATCCAAAGGATTACGATCCAAACTAGGGGCAAAAGAATGTAACCATTTAAGGGCAGCATGGGCATAGTTAATTGAGTGGAATGGTTATGAAACCCGTCAGACTCCTTTGTTATATGTTTTTGTGGACCTGAAAGTGCACAACGTTCAAAAGAATTCCTATCATTTTGATTGTATTGACCAATAAAAACGTTGCATTAATTTATTCCGTAACAATTTGCCAACAGCAAACAAAGGATTGTGCACTTTCACGGTGCTTTGAACATAAACTGCAGCACTGTTGTTTTTATCATTGATGTTTGCCGCTTTTCATAACCAGTCTCCTCTAATAACTATGGCATGGGCTATAAAATTACTGAGGAACTAGAGGTGCAAGACTGCTGAACTTCAAATAAATATAGAGAAACAACACTAACAGGAAAAGATAACTGCATGTTGAAATGTCTACTTTTAGACCACTCCAAAAACTTTCTAATAACGGGAACGTAGGCTTTTTTAGTTGTATCCGCCCTGGACTTCAACATAACTTCTAAAACCTCATTAACGTTGATTGAAGAAAATTGTTGAAAGCCTCTCCAGGAATTACTTGATAAGATTACCTGGAAAGACAAGAACAAAGCATATATACTAAAACAACAAAAAAGAACATCCTTTAATAACCGTACAAAAATCGACCATTGTTGGTGTCAGTGCCTCATAAGACGATAGACCATTGTATGGGCCAGTGCCCCGTAAATAAAAAACCATTGATTGGGCCAGCGCCACATAAATGAACTATACGCTGTTTAGGATAGCGCCACATGCAATGATAGCCTATTAATTAGGCCAGTGCCGCATAGATAAACAACACATTGCTTTGGCCAGCACCACCAAATGTAAGTAATCATTAGGCTAATGGACACACCGTCCAATGGATTACTCAGTAAATTTCAATCCAAAGGCAATAATATATTCTATCATATATCAGACCCAAAGAGCAAATTAAGGTTTCTTCCGCAGGTTAGAACCTCATTGCTGATATGAATAATGTGAGCCACAAGATAACTGCTATAGTTGTGGGTAATTAAAGGCCAGAAATGAGCCGATGGCCAAAGAGGTACAACGAGCGTACCAACGGCCTGCTGATATTTCAAATAATGCAATACCCGTGGGACGATACCAACTGGAGGGACTACTAGGCAATTTTCTCCTCGAAGAGACTGAAAGAAAAATTCAACACCCGAAGTGTTCGGGTTCCAAAACCTCGAAAATATTTGGGGAGCTTGTGATTATAATAATTAGCAAAACAATCAACACTATGCGGGCCCCACCTGCCATCGAAAAAAAGAAAAAATTCTTCAATAACTTGCTAATCATCAGTATCAATTAAACGACTTATAAAATAAGCTTGCTGATTCCAAGTGCGAGGGATCCATTGCACTTCTAAATGAATCCCCGATCAAATACAAATATCAGAAATCCTTCGGGCCATCTTATACAAAACTAATTTCATGCTACCCACGTCAACAATCTTAGCAGCTACTTGGCTATCAGTAAACCACTTAACGTGTGATCCTTCCAACATTGAGACAAATGATTGCAATGAAAACTCAATAACAGACAACTCCTTCCACGTTGAACTTTGAACTCTCTCGTTCTGCGAACACATTTTGTGGCACCCAAAATCATTGTTAAAGACAATAATTACTCCACCTCCCCAGCACTGGCATCCGAATATACAAAATAACTATGATCTTTACTTACAAAGCAATACCTAGTGTTGATATTAGCCATATTTTCCTTCCAAAAATACAGTTCTAATCTTTGCAGTAATCGTCAAGATGGAATATAGAATCCCAGTTATCTTTGCACAACGTGGACAAGACACAATGTCTGGTCATTATCCTGCCAATGTTACCAACTACAGGCCCGGTAGAAATAATTTGACCTGTGAAGGAGGCCAACTCTCTTGTAGAAACTTTGAAATCGGCTTCAATAATATGATCAATTGTACCATTGATGATCTTAACAATTCTTCTTTCTACAATTTTTAAAGTACCCAGTGCAGAATTCCGGGTTATGCTCAACCAGTCCAATACTTGGGTGGGTTCCCATACCGATTTGTCTTCGTTGACAACAAAACCCGCGTTATACAAATCCCCGCTCACAGCTTGGGCCTTAATGAGACAACCTTCTATCCTGAACAATCGCCCAACCATCGTCCAAGAAGATGGCTATACGAAGACCCTGTATTCTCCAATACTTTTCTAAAGGCTTCAAAACCTTTGTGAAAACATAAGGGGCAGAGGAAAGACCGAACGGGAGCGCAGAGAAAACACAAAATACCTTATTGATGGAATCAGGCGCCCGCCATTTAACACCAGAAATGTTTGGTGCTCTTTCGCAATCTCGATATGGTGATAACCGCTTTTAAATCAAAGGAAAACATGCGTGTACGCGTCTTTCGCGAAATAAGACATAGCAATTTTCCAGTTCTCTTACTTAACACTTTGCTTAATAAATGACTTATTGACATGGCGCAAATCAAGAATTAACCTCTTCTTACCGCATGGCTGTATAGCTGACAAGAGATTTACAACAAAAGGCTGCTCATTAACCATACGCACCCGACCAGAGTTAACAAGCTCAGGGACAGCTTGGTCCACAAAACCAGCATGAAGTCGAGCTGATTTATTATTTATTTAGTTTTACGGCCAACGGAAAACTGATGAACGGCAGACTGTAGCCGTTTTCAATAATAGACAAAATAAAATCCGGAGCAGCTATAGATCTCCAGAAACCTAAATTATTCTTCAAATTACCCTTAACACTTAATGAATGTCCACTTTTAAGTTCGTAATCCTGTGCAATTTGATCTATCTGCCCCAAGTCATCTTCAATGCTTTGGCTAAATTGATTGGCCTGCGGTTGGCTTGTTGTAGAAGATTCCAGGGCAAGAACTGTATCTAGGGGACTGGTAGCTTCCCGACCAGAACATGGATCTACAGTCCTTGGCCCAGTGTCCAAATTTGCCGCATTTGAAACAGCGAAAGAAGTCGCCAGAAGCGTCTCTATGGCCTGAAAGATAAAAGCAACGACGAAACCTGTAGTAAACGGGGGGGGGGGGGGGAACCAGAATGATAAATTAACTGTATGGAACCGCGAGCGTGAATGGTAATCAAGAGACAGCGGAGAATATAAGTACTAATGATAATACAGGGTGCGGCAGGTGCGAAACGAAAACAACTGCGACTAATTACTTGGAATAACAGCGGGGAATACATTTACGTTCTAATTCGCTTCGCTCAATCTAACGTAAATCATTTTACCCTTTAACTGATTCCCGTAATACAAACAAATCACACGAGAAATATGGTAGGATGCGCAAGCGGATCCAAAACACATATGAATATACAAAGCAAAGAGAAGGCTCTTTTTCTTACCACGAAAAAGCTGATTATCAGCGCCCAAAGCAATTCTTGGTTTCTTTCCGCGATCACTGGAGAGTTGTTCCTTTTGACGTCTCTTGCGGCTCGCCGCTTCTCTTGCTTTCTTAAGGACGGTGCCCACTAATGGGAAGTATTTTTTCCCAGATAATGACTATGTGAGACAAGTAGATCGTATCAGCAGCTATTGAAATCCAAAACGAAAACTGGGGGTAACCACACATTTTTCAGAGATATGGAGAAAAACGCTTAATAGGCATTTTTTTTAAAAATGATAATTTTTTTTCCTCAAGTTCAGAGCGTACATGTAAAGTGGCACAAATGCAATGATAATTGTAACAAGGTTTCAAAATAAGCGACAAATGATAACATAACAACTGCTCCTCATACGTCGTTTTTTGAAATATCACCACAGCTAGGAAGTTATCAGCAGTTACCCCTCTCCACGCGTTTGCCTTAAAAAATAGTGTAAAGGACATTTTCCCCGAGCCAAAAATTGATCGTTTCCTAGTGAGTAGGCTTATTACTTTCATTTGGTAATATAAAAGGTAGGGGTTACCGCGCGTTTTTAGAAGTTAAATTGGTTGGTTTTGACCTTAACTTAATCTCTTTGGGGGTTATTTACATTTTTCCCATCCCCTCAGTCAGTCGGTCAGTTTCACTATTGCTTCACTCAACGCGGAGTACTCTGGGATATCCACAATGGCTGACAGTCAGAGAGAGCAACAACCCATGAAAGAGAGCGAAAACAGAAAGTGAAGTGTTGCGCAGTTCTCTCGCGTCGCGCGCGACTACCTTGGCATGCGCAGAAAATGTGCGCAGTAACAATAGTGGGCACCGTCCTTACGACGCTTCTCATCTTCGGAGCCGGATGCAAGCTCCTCCGACTCTTACTCGGCTACAACCTGCCAGCCGTCCCTACTTTTATCAGCGATTTTTATCAGCTTCTGTCGCTTTCGAATACGTTGCCTGCCTTCTTCGGAAAGTTTTCTTGATTTGCGACAAATTTGGCTCGATGCTTTCACTTTCGATTTCAAAAATGGCATCTAATTCGACATTAAGCTCAAATTTTTTCTGGTTCCCTTTGAACTTTAGCTATACAACTTCTTTATCTAACTTACTCCTTTGCTCGATTTGCTTTTCTTTTTCTTCTAATTTTTTCTCAAAAAAATCCTTAAACATGGAAAACACTTGATCAGCGGCTGCTGAGTTGCCTCCACTATCACCTAAAGACTTTTGGCCTTCTTCAGCCGGAACGAACGAACCTTCGCTCTGTTTTTGGTCGTTGGGCATCACACGAATAGGAGAACACAAACCAGAAAGATGAATTAACTGTATGGAACTGCGAGCGTGAATGGTACTCAAGGAACAGCGGAGAGTATAAGTACTAATTACTAACCATTTTAGTTTGGATTTATCGCATCTTTTGAATGTAAAACATTGGCAATTCTCACACTGAAATGTACTAGTCATGGATATATGTATTGTTAATGATATATGTATTGTCCGCATTGATTTGGAAAAATTAGCATAACGTCAAAACGGTGAATGTTGTAGCGCGGATTTTTGACCGGTCCGTATTATAGGTTTGTCTTGAAATTTCAAGGCGTTGCAGTGAATCAATCTAAACGAAAGTCTCAGACATTATTATGTACATTATAAAGATTATGTGAAGAGATTTTAAAAAAATTCGTTCGAGTTGTTTCAGAGATAAACAAAAAAGCGCTACAAGTCGAAATTTTGAATGAAGTTGCACTTAGACAGGTGGTGAGAAAACGGGTTATTTTTTAGGATCGCAAGAACGAAAATACACCAAAATTTCCTAGCATCGAAATATGGTATTAAGCAGCATTCTGACGCTACTTAAGAATAATTTGAGTCATTTATAACGTTTTCATTAAATAATCTATCACGGCTATTGAAAATTTAAGGTTTGAAATATATTTTCGTTTTGGTCGAATTCAAACATACAGAATTTTTACTCCTTACGGAGGTTATTTGCTAAACACTAAACTTTCAGTTCCTTGGATTTTCATTAGCTGCTCTAGATCGCGCAAAATTAGGCGTTTATTAATTTCAATTTTTTTGTTTATTGTTGTCATAGTGAAATCGATTTTACTAAAACCTACATTTTAACAAATTTCAATCTATAGTAAATCATTGGTGAAAATTCTATAGCGATCAGACAAGGATAAAGTCACTTTTAAAGCGATCGAAAAATATCGGTATGGCCTCTGAAAAACTATATCGAAACACCTTAATACAGGTTTGACTGTAAAACTTAGTTTATATCATTATCTTTCCTTACTGTTTCAGTTTTGTGTCATTCCTGAATCTACAATGGAGGTCACCAAGGATACAGTTACAATTAGTGACCTAAAGTATTTGTTTGGTTCAAAAGGACATACTGTTCAACTGAAAGAAAACTGAGGTTTTTTATTGAAAATTTGCCCGCCTCTACCAAAAGTAAGACCAAGATTATGAAATGTAATTTCCAATACTTTTTTGGATTTTGGTTTTGGAACAAAGAGGCACATGGTTGAAATCTAGCTGTATGTGATGTAGTGTATAGATACAGGCAGATCAAGCTTATGTCGAGCGTTCAGTAGTTAGTTTGGTTGTTATAAAGCCCTACAGGTGCAGTCAGACAATTATACGGGCAGTCCAAGCTTATGGTGTCAGCAGTTAGTTAGGTTTTGGTTTTTGAATTATGATAAAACCCGTACATATTTATCGATACAGGCAGCCAAAGCTTATGGTGTGACTAGTTAGTTTTGGTTTTTGAATTTGAAGGCTTATTACTTAAACCTGTACAGGCCGTGAGTCAGGCAATGATACAGGTAGCCCAAGCTGTTGGTGTGGGAAGTTAAATAGTCTGTAGGTTTTGATTTTTGAATTTAAAGACATATGGTTAAACCTCTGTTCATGTGCGAGGGTAACGGGGCTGTAATTACTAAAAGTTTTAAGTGAAATTTTCAGACACAATGATGAGCCAGTTATAAAAGCAGAGTTTCATATAAACGGTGTTAAACAAAATAATCGCGTTCTGAAAGCATTTAAATTTGGTCTACTTTCGACCTTTCCGTGTCTGTTACGCCGCAAAATATTATAATTGATACAATTAACGCAAAATGTAATGACATTAAGCATTTTAAAACATCTTTCTGAACAAAATGTAGGAATAACATAACGTAAAGTGTAACAAATTTTTAGCGCAAAACGTAACAACTTATTTTGCGCGAAATGTAACAAAGCAAAATGTCTTTGAATATTTCTTTGCACACTTTAGGAAGGGTAAATAATTGAGCAATTAAAATTGCCAAACGAGATGGGTCTAAGAAAAACTATTTTTACCCCTTCTATACTTGTTCTTTCAACAGGCTTACCGTGTTTAGTCGATTAAACGCTGCCCTCGAATAAACGTTCAATTAACACTGTTCTCGAATAAACGACACACTCAACCAGAGGAATGCGGCGTTTATTCGAGGATTACAAAAAACTCGGTACAACTGGTAGTCTACACTAGCCCTAGCTAGCCACAAGATTTATCGGATCATTATACTTCTCTGGGAAACTGCCCGCCTACACCTCCCCTAAAGTGAAATGTCCTGCTTCACAGCAGGCTAGGATATATATTCACAATTCTTTTTTTTTTTTTTCAGTCTGTGTAAAAGGACGTAAACGTCTGTTTTTAGACACCCCTTATGTGCCTTGCAATAAAAAATGCAACAGAAAGAGGTTTCTCTCAGACACCTTTCCAGTACATATGAATTTTAGCGGAGCTCCACCCGCGCGCGAAGCGCGCGTGTGGACAGAGCTCCATAGCTAAGGAAATGTGGTAATCTACCCATCCGAGAAAATTTGGTAATCACGTGACCGTACGCCCGACCGTCCGTCCGCACCACAGGGAAACCAATGTTTTCTCTCACACTTTCTAGCTAGTTTGGGAGCCCAGTAGAAAACTAATTGCACGTCAATGTTGTGATCAATTGACAGCTGTCAAAACAGGATATCCGCTGACCAGTGTCACCTGACCGTACCGCGGGCTCAAGTGTCGACCCATCGAGGTCGAGTATTTTTTTGAAGTTATCCGCTAACAAATTACCAGTTTCAAATGATCGCAGGCTCAAGTCTATTTTTCCAATGATTCATATGAAATATGTTGTGTTTATGTCACTATGTCCCCGCACTGTCAAAATTTTTATTTCAAACTGACCTCGGACGCGAAAATTCAGCCACTTTTTTAAAAATAAAGGCGGGGAAGATCTTTTCTTACCATGGTCACGCGTTGGTCACGCTCTACGTCCAATTTTTGTACTCTGATTGGCCAAAATTTGACAGGTGAGTTCATGCGGAAAATTTATGCAGCATCTTGAAAGTTGTTTACTTTGACAGGTAAAGCTGACAGAGTTTTGTGTCAACTTGTGATGTTTTAACTGTCTTTTCACTGGATGTACAAAATGAAATACAGCTGCTATCAAGAGTCTTCTGTTATCCATGGCTGGTTTGTTTATTGGGTTTTGGTTGAGAAATGCGTCGCTTGTCAAAATTGGGTAATCCGATTTCGGATGGCATTGTTTTCGTCTTTCGGCCTTGCTCAATGCGTAGAGGGTTTGAAAGTCTCAAGCAACTATGGCCTTCCTTGATATCTTTCAGGAACTGAATCTCGAATGGTAAGCCTGAGTAATTATTGTATTTGATGTTTGTTTTTGTTATATCTAATTTCATGAAGTCGAGAACAGTTTATGCGGCAGGTTTTTTGCACGTTTGTTAAGATTTGAGTCAATGATCTGATCTAGTATCAGGTTTGATATAAAGCTTACAGAACTTTGAAAGGCCTTCAGATTTTTTTTTTTTCGACAAATAGAAAAAAAACGTTCGAAGAATATTTAGTTATAAATTTGGCTGTGAAAGAAAACTTTGAGTGATTTTCTTGCTTCGAGGAGTTCATCTTTGAAAAACAAAACAAACACCGGGAGGCCGGCTGAAAGTAAAACAAAATAAACTTAAGCTTAAGCTTTAAGCTTAAAGACTCAGGATTTTAGAAACACTTTAATACTTGTCTTGGTGAATTAAAATTGTTGTCTCTGTAAATGTTTTACCGAATTATATTTCTTTTTTATTGATTGTTAGTAGTCTCTCTTGCAATTTTAATCGCTTGTCCGTGGTGTTTGTTTTCATCGTTCATGAACATCGCTTGCAGGAGTACTTAGAAATGTCGCGCGTATCAAACGCTTTATAAGATTACACATCGTTATGACTGGAACCATTAAATAACAAAAAGTAATGATAATAAATTCGTTATTATGTTGAAGCGTATCTCCATTAAAGTTCATTCAAACACTCGACCACACTGACAGCTCGCACTAAAAATGAGAACCGGCTGGCCGTATGGGTGATTTTGAAATTTTTTTGAACGGTTTCGCTAAAGCCCACCATTGATCGTCCTGGACATTGAAAAATTGTGAAATGCCGTATTCTGTCCGAGGTCTGTATGATAAAAGGGCAAAAGCGAAGCTCCTATTAAGAAATTTATATTTTAAATAAAACAATGAACTTGTAATCCTCAAATCAGTTAACTTAAGGGCTCATTCTTTATGACTTTTGAGGAAAGGATAAGTTATTTTAGAGTGAAAGATCTTACATCGAGTTGAAAGCCTAAATATATGTACACCCAAAAAATGGCAAAACATCTTCTATCACATTCAAAGAGCCATAATGGCTCTTGATCACGGTAGATTAGGCCTCGAAAACAAATTCTTGGAAAACAAATCAGGCCGCATTTTTTTTGCGTTCGACAGGGTTTACTTTACAAATCCTTGCCAACAAATCTGAGGGTGTGTAAACCAACCTTTATACTTTATACATCACATCTGAGGTGAAACAGTACTTTTTTATCATACAGACCTCTTTTGACAGAATACGGTATTTCACAATTTTTCAATGTCCAGGACGATCAATCGTGGGCTTTTTAGCGAAACCGTTCAAAAATTGCCAAAATCACCCATACGTCCAGCCGGTTCTCATTTTTAGTGAGCTGTCAGTGTGGTCGAGTGTTTGAATGAACTTTAATGGAGATACGTCTCAACATAATAACGAATTTATTATCATTACTTTTCTTATTTAATGGTTCTAGCTATAACGATGTAATCTTATAAAGCGTTTGATACGTGGGGACATTTCTATGTACCCCTGCAATCGATGTTCATGAACGATGAAAAAAAAACACCACGGACAAGCGATTAAAATTGTAAAAGAGAGACTACTAACAATCAATAAAAGAAATATAATTCGGTAAAACATTTACAGAGACAACAATTTTCATTCACGAAGACAAGTATTAAAGTGTCTCTAAAAATCCTGAGTCTTTGCTTTAATAAAGCTTAAGCTTAAGTTTATTTTGTTTTTACTTTCAGCCGGCTCCCGGTGTTTGTTTTTTTCAAAGATGAACCTCGAAGCAAGAAAATCACTCAAAGTTTTTTTCTACAGCCAAATTTATAACTAAATATTCTTCGAACGTTTGTTTATTTGCCGAAAAAAAAATCTGAAGGCCTTTAAAGTCCTGTAAGCTTATATCAAACCTGATACTAGATCAGATCATTGACTCAAATCTTAACAAACGTGCAAAAACTTACATGCATAAACTGTGCTCGACTTCATGAAATTGGATATAAAAAACAAACATCAAATACAATAATTACTCAGGCTTATTATCTGAGATTCAGTTCCTGAAAGATATCAAGGAAGGCCATCGTTGCTTGAGACTTTAAACCCTCTTACGCATTGAGCAAGGTGAAAGACGAAAACGATGCCATCCGAAATCGGATTACCTAATTTTAACAAGCGACGCATTCTCAAACCAAAACCCAATAAACAAACCAGCCATGGATAACAGAAGACTCTTGATAGCAGCTGTATTTCATTTTGTACATCCAGTGGAAAAAGACAGTTAAAAACATCAAGTTGACACAAAACTCTGTCAAAGTAAACAACTTTCAAGATGCTGCATAAATTTTCCGCATGAACTCACCTGTCAAATTTTGACCAATCAGAGTACAAAAATTGACGTAGAGCGTGACCAACGCGTGACCATGGTAAGAAAAGGTCTTCCCGCCTTTAGTTTTTAAAAAGTGGCTGAATTTTTTCGCGTCCAAGGTCAGTTTGAAATCAAAATCTTGACAGTGCGGGGCCATAGTGACATAAACACAACATATTTCATATGAATCATTGGAAAAAATAGACTTGAGCCTGCGATTATTTGAAACTGGTAATTTGTCAGCGGATAACTTCAAAAAAGTACTCGACCTCGATGGGTCGACACTTGAGCCCGCGGTACGGTCAGGTGACACTGGTCAGCGGATATCCTGTTTTGACAGCTGTCAATTGATCACAACATTGATGTGCAATTAGTTTTCTATTGGGTTCCCAAACTAGCTAGAAAGTGTGAGAGAAAACATTGGTTTCCCTGTGGTGCGGACGGACGGTCGGGCGTACGGTCACGTGATTACCAAATTTTCTCGGATGGGTAGATTACCACATTTCCTTAGCTATGGAGCTAGGATATATATTCACAATTCTTTTTTTTTTTTTTCAGTCTGTGTAAAAGGACGTAAACGTCTGTTTTTAGACACCCCTTATGTGCCTTGCAATAAAAAATGCAACAGAAAGAGGTTTCTCTCAGACACCTTTCCAGTACATATGAATTTTAGCGGAGCTCTGGCGCGCGAAGCGCGCCTGCGGAGCACCATGGGTAAGAAAATGTGGTAAACTACCCATCCAAGAAAATTTGGTAATCACGTGACCGTACGCCCGACCGTCCGTCCGCACCACAGACATACCAATGTGAAATAACTCAATCAACAGGTATGGTAACCAAAATGCAACTCGAGGTTATTTAGGAGGGAAATCGCATAGCCACCCGCGTCTGTAAAGCAGAGGCAACTAAAGAGTCAATAAAGATAAAACTGAAAAGCGTAAATTGTTTCTGTATTCGTGTTTTCTAAAGTATTAAGCTCAGATTATTGTCATGTCCACACATTTGGAATATAGGGCCAGAGAAAGACAGAGAAAAAGAGGCAGGCCAGCGAAACTCAACGAGAAAAAGGGCAACAGAGATCTAGAGCGAGAGATAAAAAAACAAAGGAGACATTTTTTGTTTGAAGAACAACATGAAAATTTTGTAGCGGCGGTGACAAAATGAGAAATGCTAGCGGCCACCAATGCAAGGAGAAAATGAGCGGCAGTGAAAAAAAAAAGTGAACGAGAACACGTACGACATTTCCTCCATAAAAAAGTTTCTGGACGTTTCACGTTGTGGTCGTGCAAAACAACGGCAAAGAAATGTACAAAAAAAGTGTGCTGCACGTGCAAAGTTGCTTTTTTGCTAATTAGACCTATTGTTGTTTTTTCTCCGTTCTCCAGCGTTGCCTTCGCCGCTTAGCATTACACGATTTTATATTTTGTTTGAACAAACTATAAATATTATCGAGAGCTTCGCTTTTAGCCCTGGCTAAATCTATATATTATCGGTATAGAAGTGACGAAATTTTTCCTTTGACTCCTTTTTATACATGTAGCGGAAGAATTTAGTTTTTCTTTTTTACATTGTCACATCTCCAGTTTAATCAGAGCGTTGTTACAATTTGCGTTCAAAACTTGTTACATTATGTGTTAGAACTGTTTTGCATTTTGCATTAAAGGTTTTTACATTGCGAGTTCATGTTACATTTTTCTTCAGATTTTACAAATTTCGCGTTAATTGGCGCCATAATCTTCGTCTTTTCGCACCTTCCCGACTAACGAATTGTCTAACAATGGGAAAAAGAAAAAAAAGGCGGGGTGGGAACAAAAATCAGCTCCCATAGGGTTGGAACTCAGCTTCGCGAGCTGAAGACGTTTTACAAACAAGCAATGTTAAGTGACAACTGGGCGAAAAGAACCATTTCAGATTTCATTTTATTCATCATTATTTCATTTGTGCACAGTTGTGAATCAGTTTCAAGGGAAGAAATGCAGTGCATTTTCTTTAAAGACAAAGTTTTTAATTGTTTTTTGTTTTAGGTAAACTGAAATCAAATGCTCCTGGTAAAACGTAGTCTGTTTGCCCACGGTGCTCAAATGATTTTGATTGCTTTGTAACGTTTTTGAATTATCTTTTCAGAAAAAATGCAAGACCTACGCGAAGCAAACTCGACAAGGCGGGCCTCTGAATTAGAAAGACAGTTGAGGGATTTTCAACCACGTGAAGAAAATTTCCAGAGGCAGTTAAGAGATGAGCAACAACGCGAAGAGAATTTACAAAGACAGTTCAGAGAGCTTCAGGAACGGGAACAGAGCGCTCAAAGGCAGCTTACGGAGTCGCGGCAACGTGAACAAAATTTGCAGGGGCAACTCAGAGAGGTTCAAGAACAGGAAAAAATTCCCAAAGGCAGCTAACGAAGTTTTAGCAAACGTGAAGAAAATTCACAGAGGCATGTTGAGGGAGACAAGACAGCAGTTGAGAAATTACCGAGGACAAGTTTCTGAACTACAGTTAAGTCTTTCAACAGCTCAGCAAACAATAAGTGAATTGCGCAGCCAAGAAGCACGTGACTGAGTTATTTCCCGGGACGAAATTCAAATCACAGGGAAATGCCTTGGGAGGGGAACGTATTGTGGCTGTACTGTAGCAGTGAAACAAATCCATGAGTTGATTCTTTCTCCTCATAACATAAATCTGTTTGAAAGAGAAATGAAAATCGCTTCTAAATGACGCCATCCTCATTTACTACAGTTTATCGGCGCCACCAATGATGAGGCAAACCCTCTGTTTGTGACCGAGCTGATGGAGAAAAGTCTGCGCACTTTGTTGGACCAGCGGCAACTCTCCGAGACAGAAATAGCTGTCATTTCTCTGGATGTAACACTTGCTCTAAACTACCTTCATCAGAAGAAACCAGAGCCTATCATTCATCGTGACGTCAGCAGTGCTAATGTGTTGCTATGGCGACAGGGTGACCAATGGAGAGGCAAAGTGTCAGATTATGGCACTGCTAATTTTATGCAGCAGACCATGACAGTGGCTCCTGGAGCAAGGATTTACAGCGCACCTGAAGCACTTACATCAAACCAAACCGTCAAGGTAAGTTTTAGTCACTGTTCAAGACTGTTAACATTGGCATAATTATTTAATAAGTGGCCCTTGCCCAACCCACCCAACAATTAAACCAATTAACCCAATAATTAATTGTATATGGCTGACTCGGCCAGCGGGCAAGGTGAGGCAAATCCTGTGTTCCGATTGGCTGCCCGAGCTGGAAAGATGGACTTGTCTTTCCCGACCAGACGTTCTCCTAAAACCTTTTCTTTTTGGCCATGTAATAAATCGTTTATTGACCAAGCTTGTTCGGTCAAGGTGGCAGGATATGCAGTGGCAGATCCAGATCTTCAGATAAGGGAGGGGGGGGGCAGTCATCCAGACTTCGAGATAAGTGGAGGCGGTCTCTAAAAACATATTTTCCGGCCGTTCGGGCCTCATTTTGCTCTAAACATAAGGGGCGCGGGATGGGGGCGGTCCTCCCGGGCCCCTTCCCTGGATCCGCCGCTGATATGGGCCCAGTTCTTTTTGCGTTTTTATAAATGTAGACTTTATCTCGCTCCATAAAAACGCGAAGACAAGCGTGACCTATATGTAGCAATCGTGACCTGTCAAGATTGGTTGATAAAACAGATTTAAACATTTATCGGTCGGAGCAGAACCATAATGAATTTAATTATACACAATAGCCAAAAAATTGGAGCAGAGCTGATACGGTCTAGCGATAAGAAACAAAAAGATAAAGGTATAAAGACAATAAAAACTTTCATAAATTCTCGCAAGAATGTCCACAATCACAGAATTGTTCCGAAGGATAGCCTGGTTCCAGGCGTTCAGATTGTGAGGACGGCGCTAAAAGGTTCGCGCCGCACTCCATTATCTGAACTCCTGGAACGGGCTATGTGAGGGAAGGTAGTAGAGTCATTAGAGATCAGCAAGAGGTTGCAGAACTATTGAATTATTTCTTTTCAAATTGTACTTTAAATAACAAGGTTTTAGTGAACATCCACCTGATCTCTCGTGCATATTACACAAGCTGATGGGTAGAGAGGAACTACAAGAGATATCTATAAAGCCTTACACTTCAGCTATTGCTCGGATTCGTGGCATTTCTTCATTACACATGCAGCTGATAAATAAGAGAAGGTTAGGATATCTATAGGAAATTCAGAGACATTTATATACATTGTTAGCTAGGTTTTCTTTTCTTTTCGTTTTCTTTTAACTCAGCAATTTTTTCTGGCGCAAGTACTTCGAAGAAGAGAGGAATGAAGTATATGTAAATGTTTAGGTCTACCGTCCCCACCCCCCATGTTTGTATTATCGAGCATGCGCTCTGACAGTTATGATGATTGAATACACAGGTGTGCACGAGCAGCAATGGTGTGTGTGTTGGTGGTTAAATTCGTAAGACACTACAGTTACGTTCTCCTGCTGCTCCTGCTAGTCACCATAGTGTAAACAACGATATCAACACACCATAAGAAACTGGGAAATAAACGTGTGTTCAGCGAAGCTACGATCTGTACAAGAACATGACCAAAAGATGCGTAGAACGCATAACCGAGAAAGAAACTAATGCCAGTCGTCCCTCCCTTCGCTAGGAATAAATACAAACAAATGCATTTATTTTAGACGTTAAAAGAAATCCGGTAAAAGAGGCAATCCTTACATCAAATACATTTTTAAGAAGGTTTACACAAAGTTGCATTCTTAAAGGGTATTGCATACAGCCGGTTGTAACAAAGCAAACATCTTGGAAATATAGTAAGACAAGCCTTGAAATATGCAATAGCGGTACAGCAGGCGATAAGCATTATTGTTTAGTTTACATTAACTATAATCATTAGCATTATTTATGATATCAATTGATAAGTTCATATGCTAAAGGCCAGAAACTCTGCACCAGTTTGAGTCACTTGTAGATAATAAAGAGCTATCGCACAACGCCATGACGCAATCATTATTGAAGTTTAACAAAAAGCCAAAATATTTTTCAGGTCATTATTGAGCACCACTACTCTTGTTATAGTTCTTATAGTTCTTAATCATCAAGGCTATCATAAAAACTAAAGTAGTGAATAACAATATGATACGGGCGATTTTTATCCACTTTTACTAAAAGCACTAATCACTGCTGCTTCTGCTGCTACTTCCAGAAATATTCATATCTGAAACAAAAATAGAAGAAATAAAAGACAATAATCTAACTTAGCAAGTAACAGTTATTACTTCCTAAAGGATATATGGGCAAACTAGTCGGTTCACGATTTGGGAAAATTGCAAAATTAGGGAGTTCAAGCAATTCTTTGGTCCCGGGCGTCATGAATGACAACCAGTTGTTTGTTTTCAGTTCGCTCTATACTTCTACCTGACATAACAAGTTTGAAAGTTTTTGTTTTAATTACTGTAGTATGACGTTATCAAGTCAAACAATTAAAAAAGAGAAAAGAACGACTTATGTTTGTTACTTTTGACGTACGGGATTCCACTTTTGTCGTTACCTAAGCCCGCTAGGACTAGTAACTTTCAACGATTTGGCAAACGCGTTTAGCATTTGTACAAATCAGTCCGATTTATGGAAAAGCAGCTGCAAACTATCCTAAAACTGGTATCAATGGTGGCGTCGCGAAATGTTGGTTTTTTCCTCAAGCCGTGCAAACACTTGCCAAAAGCATAACAAGAAAGGGCGAAAGACAAGGTCTCATAACATAAGGCAGGAAAAAACGAAACAGGGGACCCAACTGCTAAGCAGAAGTTCCTTTTGTTTCGAAAACGTTTCACTGACATCACCCGTTTTCCGTTTACTTTCCAACCGGATATAGTACTTGAAAACATTTGCAAATGATGAAAAATTATGGACCTGAAATCAGGGTATTGCTATAGTTCCTAACCTACAAGAGTGCTATTTCAAATGTTCGTTGAGATAACTATGCAAACCAAAGACCATCATTACGACGTAAACCTTTAAGCAATGTTAAACCTGTGTTATGGACGAAATTTAAGCCTTGTACTAACATTAAATTACATCATTAACACAAGCTACCCGAATCCAAGTGTTCCGAATGATGAATGTTACCAGTATTGCGTAACCGTTCTCGGGAAATGGCATTCACAAATAACAGTAATATTATATATATATATAAAACAACATTTCCAACTTACCTGGGAAGGGTTTGTCCTTAAGGTGGTGGAGGGTGGTGATCTCCATGGGGATGAGGCCCTTGGTGTGGTGGATGGTGTGGAGGCCCATGCGGTGGAGGCCCATGATGTGGAGGTCCATAGTGTGGGGGACCATGGTGTGGTGGATGGTGTGGAGGCCCATGCGGTGGAGGCCCATGCGGTGGAGGCCCATGGTGTAGAGGTCCATGGTGTGGGGGTCCATGGGGTGGCGGTCCATGAGGTGGAGGCCCACTCATCCTAGAATTTGCGCTAACGTAAATAACAAGACTTAAAGCACGTGTAGTTTGTTAGAAAATAAGACTTGGCCTAAAGAGGCGTGAAAATAATTTTACTTTATTTCTACTTTAAAATTAACTTACTTGGATTATTGTTTTTGTTCATGTTGTTGTGGAACAAATTTCATTTTCAAAGTAATTAAGTCATGAAAGATTCAAGTTTAAGCTCAAATAATATATAGAAATTTGTTACATGCTTAAGTTACAATAATAATAGGTTTAATGAAGTTATGTTTATATGATAATCATATATGAGAACAAGAATTGTATTAAAGAAAATCATCGCAGTTATAGACGCAACTTTTGTAGTTGTGAAAAGAAAGTCTGAAAAAGTTCAGGCTTGTACGGGATTCGAACCCTTGACCTCTGCGATACCGGTGCAGGGCTCTACCAATTGAGCTAACAAGACAATTGGGAGCAGGTCGTTGAATTGGTTTGTATTAAACCTGGTGAATTGGTTGGTATTAAACCTTGAAAGGAATATGATGATCATCATTATCATCCGTCAACGGGTTTAATATACCAACCAATTCAACGACCTGCTCCCAGCTGGCTTGTTAGCTCAATTAGTAGAGCGCTGCACCGGTATCGCAGAGGTCAAGCGTTCGAATCCCGTACAAGCCTGAATTTTTGCAGGGTTTCGTCTATAACTGCGATGATCTTCTTTCATGTAATAGTAAGTTTAATATCAAGTACATTAAAGTTTCGTTTTTATTGCTTACGTGTAGAAAAGCGAAATGAGACCAGGATATTGTCATTTCCTGAACTTAGGGTCTTAGCAACAAGTTTTCATTTGGATGTTAAGGTTCTGTGGGAGCCAAATGGCGAACCAGCAGTCTAATGCATCATCTTAAAGTGGGTTTAACAGACATAAAGAATATATTTTTGACAAATATAAACTTGGACTGCGGACTGCGGAACACGAGTTGGGTATAACAAGCGGGCTGAGACTGAGTACAACAACAATTATATTAAAAAGCAAAGAAATGCACTAAACATACCGTGCTTCAAAAACAGGGCCAAATTGAGAGTAAAACAGGTGGTTGGTTTAGGATTTAAATTGATATATTTGCTAAGCATTTGTTAAACGTAACTAAATGAAGCGAACGAATGTGTTCAAGCTTGTTTACATAATAAGAGAACTTAGGAAATAGGGTTATAGCCAAGACGAAATCGATCATCTTTTAAAGGCTCGTTCTTCCAAGAAGAGTGTATGCTCTTCTTTTGTTTATAGCACATGCCAAGCGGATTTAAATACAGTACAATGCTTCCTGAAAAGATGTTTCAAGAGGCGCTACTCCTCAAAAATTTATAATATTCACGAGCTCTTAGCTAGCTCTTGTACAAATGTGATACGAAACTCTTCAAGGAAACTAGAAGCGACAGTTCTCACCCATTGTACCCTATGTTGCCCCAAGCCAAAGGGTCCTTAGATTAAAAAAAAAATCTAGTCAGTTACCTAGGATAAACACTGAACGTTTTAAAAGTAGCTTTTTAAATAGGCTTAGTTTCAAATACAATTGAACACTATGAGAAATTCTTACTGTAAGCTCCTTAACGAAGAAATGATCCGGGTAAGGTGGATAGCAG